ATATAGAAAGCTTAAGATCATACATTAGCAGCTTAAGACTATGAGAAATAGTTATCATTAAAACTGAATCACTGTGATTTTAAAAAGTTGCTTTTTTTTTTTTCCCTAATGGTAGGAAACTGCTAAAAAGGAATAACATTAACAAGTATACGTAAATAATTGTGTCTGTATTGGGTAAAACAAACCTCTCTCTGATTTCACCATCTGTAAGAAATGCAAAAAAGAATTGACTGGCAACACCTTCAATTCAGGATTTTAGCACAAAAGTGCAACATGACAGACCTTTTCTTGAGCAAAATAGCTCTTTAAAGGTTGTGTAAACTTAAAGGAGGGGCTACCAAGAAGAGTAGTTCAAACCTGCTCAGAAACAAACCTTTCTCCGATTATGTAAGTTGCATTCTCCTTCTTGGAAAAAAAGGAACATTCATAATGTTTAATTTTCTGATCAACTTTAATGGAATAAAGATTTTTTCTTCTAGGAAGCATCAGTATACATTATGTCTCTGAAACTGGGACCCTTTTGAGAATGAAATGGAGCATTATTAACAATTATGCCAGCCAATAGGTAAAAAAAAAAACAAAAACAAAAAAAACAAAAAATAATAAACAGAACTACCTCTAGGCAAACCAGGATATATGGTCATCCTGCCATAGAGGAAATTCCCGGAGGTCCAAACCAAAGGGACCCTAAACACCAAACAGTGAGTGAATGTACTAGGGTGGCAGCTGCTCTTAAGGCCAATCCTGTTTAGATTAGAGGAAAGAAGCATAAATGCTAAATATCATGCCTGATGCTTAATATGCACTAGAAATATTACCATGCCTTACCCACTCAGAGAATAACTAAGAGCTTTCATAAATTACATTTTAATGACAGAATTGTTGCCAGGCCCTCCAACTTGAAAGGGGTTTTGTTTATACTTAGAATACAGAATATGTCTGAGTTTTATCAAGCTGAATTTATTTTTGGAAAAAAAAAAAAAAAAAGGTTTCCAATTCATTTTCTCAGATCTGGCTGTTTTATAATTGATATGATTTCTCAAGTAGTGAGGTGTTACTAAACCGTGAGAAAAATGAAGCTTGTCAGGGGGATAACCTTTTAAATTTTTTCTCAGTCCCGGGTTTCTATAATTCTTACTCCAACCTGAAAACATTGTTCTCAAAACACTTGGAAACTTTCCTTTAGCACTTACACATCAGATTCACAGAATTGACAGCAGGAGTCTTGGAGTGACTGACTGAAATTCTCTAATTTTACGCAACACACGGATTTTTAACACTCTTATAAATAGAATCCGTCTCCATCCTATTGTCCTATATGTATATCAATTATGTGTATATAAATTCACAAATCTAAAGTGATCCAATACTAACTACACAATCATATACCGAAACATGTTATTCATAGGTGGATCTAAGATCATTTTTAATCAGTCCCAAACTTAACTCAGGTTGTTTCCTCTGTTTAAATTTCTCATATCTATCCAAAAGAAGCTTCATGAATGCTAGACAAGTAAGTCAAATAGTGAAGCTAGATGGGAGTTTGCATTTTAAACACTTTGGGATATTCTTCACTCTGAAAAGTAATATTTTTCTCTCATTTTTCTTAAGAGCATGACCCTCTCATTTACCTTAAAACATTCCTATTTTTTGGCAGAGACATCTATAGAGAATAAAGTACTCCTTTAAGAAGGACCCTTGTGCATGTACAGTGCCATCCGGACTCAAAATTGTGGAACAAAATTGTGCACGCCTTGTCCTCAGCTCAGATAATTGACATCATATTTTGCCAGAGTTTGCCTGATGTTTTCTCATGATTACTTTTACTTTATGTATTATGACACAAATCCCACAGAAATGATGTGCCTTTTTCAGTATACCATACCAGGAGATCCATAATGTCTGTCTCATTACTGCTGATGTTGACTTTGATCACTTGCTAAAGGTGGTGTCTCCTGTTTCTCTACTATTCTTATTTTCTTCTTTGTGATTCATATGTATCTTGTTGAGAAATTCTGTGAAATGATGCAAATATCCTGTTTCTCATCATAATCTTACGCCCACAGAGTTAGCATCAATTGATGATTTTTGCCTGCAACAATTATCACTGTGTTGTTTGTTAAAAGGTAATTTTCTATTTCTATTTTCCCTTCTATATTTGTTCATTGGAATTCTACAATAAGGAAAAGCTGTGACTTCTCCCATGCTTATTAATTATTCAATTATTACTCATAGTTATTTATATTATTCTATGGGTTATAATCTATTATTGACATTATTTATTTTATTGCTGAAATTGTTCCAGCTTTGGTCATTAGGAGCTCTTTTAAGTTAGTTCCTATGTCATTTTGATATTCTGCCATCAATTTTTGAGTACATCCTCACTTTCTGGCACTGCAACATGTTGCAGGTTCATCTTGTATTTTGCTGCCCTGGATCTGCAATCAACCATTTCTCCAGGAGCCCTACTTTTATACAGCAAAATGGTGGCTGTTGTTCCCACTGCTATCCAGTCCTTTCCTCACAGGAGCCCTGCTTTTACTGGGGAAATTATATTTAGAAACCAAGATCTGGGCCCAAGGTATGTTGACTACTACTCTGTGATTACATCTTTGTGATTGCTTCTAGGCCCTCTCAGCATAGATTTAGGGAACACACACACACACACACACACACACACACATCTATCCATTTCAATTGTTAACTATCTATTAAAAACTGTTAGTTCATACTGATACCTCTTAAACACCATGGTTCATTCTGCTTCTGCTGTTGTATATTTGTAACTTCTTTCTCTAACAGTAAAAACCTGGCTCTCATTATGTACAATATATTTACTTATTTGCTCATTGTAAGTATGCACATTAAGTAGTTTCAGAATTGATACTCATGCTCCAGAATACATTACTTATGTATAGTTATTTTTGTCTTGAGTTTTATAATGTATAATCCAAATGCCGTTTTACATAATCACTTCGATAAATTGTTTTATTTCTCATCTCCCTGAGGTGTGGATAAAATTAGATTCTACTTTGGGTTCCACCCCTCCCACATCTTAGTTGATATTTGTTTGTCCCTTCCTCCCTTCCTCCCTTCCTCCCTTCCTCTCTTCCTCCCTCCCTCCCTCCCTTCCTTCCTTCTTTCCTTCCTTCATAATGAGGTTGAAGTATTGCCACAGGCAAAGAGTTAGAATTATGCAAGGTTTGTTCAGAGAAATGTCACTTCCTCCTCCCTCCCCTTTACATTCCCATCCCACATTTTTGACACCTGTTCTTAGCACATTATGTATGTTACCAATCTCATTAGTTTCTGGAGTTTACTTTTAATATATCTTTTTGATACAATAAGAAGATAATGCAAAATTTCTAAACTCCTTTCTCTCTCAGATGAAACATTCCATATTATCACTCTTTGCACTTTGCCTTTTCACTTAATAATATATCTTATAACTCTTTCCATATCAATTCCTAGAGATTTTCCTTTTTCTTTATTTTACCACTGCAGAGTATTTCATCATGAAGATGGATGTACCTTGGTTTATTTAGCCACCTTTCCTATTTATGGGTATTTTATAATTATAAAAAATGATGCAATAAATAACATGTGCATATGTATTTACTATTGTTGGGAGGGCAAACTATGACTAAAAGTTTGATCTCCCAATGCATTATTCAATTCTGTTTTATTTTATTTTATTTTTTCAATTCTGTTTTAGATCAAATGATATAATATAATTGAATTAAGGGTGTTCTATAAACTATAAATGTAATATAAACATAGCAAAATAAAACTATTTTGTTAATAGCATTATTTTCTCTCTCTAATTGTAACTTCTTTTGAGACAAGCAGTTCAATTCAATAAACATTCGTCCTCAGTTACTAAATCAGATGGTTAATTTTGAAAATTTCTCCCATGTGTTTAAATTCTAACATTTCCAATCACACTTTCACTAATTAAGAATGTTCTGAAATTTATTCATTTTCACTTAAAAACTAAATCCACTGTTTGTATAGTTTCTAGTCTTAAAAAGACATATTAAATTATTTTTCTATGTTATTCTTGTAGAGACAGAAGATAAAAAATTACAAACTATAGTCTTAATTCAGTTCTTTCCAGTCCCTAAGTATGGATGTCAATAGAGTTGGAGGAGAAAAAAAAAGTTCATGTAATGCTAGGTGCACTTACCAGGTTCTCTGACAATGAGTTAGAAGCTTGGGGACTCTCCTTCCTAGTGGGAGGAGTTACACCAAATTCAGTTTCCTCTGGAATTGTGGGACTTCGGGGCCCTCAGTTTTCCACATCCTGAATAGCGGATATTTTGAAATGTACAAACGATGCTATATGGTCTGTTTAGGGTCTGCATCTGGTCCTACCTCTAACCTGGGTTCAAGGACTCCCTAAAGTAGCCCAGGCTAGTTCATCAGGAAATTGCCTTGGGGTCTAGAATCCAGGAACTATAAAGAGTATTTGCCTTGTCTTTTCCTTCATTATGGCCTATAAAGACCTGTTTAATCTACCATGAGACTACTGTCAGGTCCAACCAAGCCTCACAAAACCACTTATTGAAATCTCCAAAGTTTTGTAAGATACTAGTTCTGGTTCTGCAATTTTACCAGATTCAACTAAGTAAATCAATGCAAAAAAAAAAAAAAAAAAGAATGTCAGGTCTGCCAAAAGGTGACTTCTGATATGGCTTCAAATATGTGCCTCACCTACTTAGCCGATTGTGTCACCAACTATATATAATGCAGGCTCCAATTTGTCAGCAGACTGGTAGAGACTTTGCTGTTTGGGTTGGGCTAGTTCAGAGCTTTTGCATCATAACCTCTTCCTCCAGGGTCACAGGAGTCAGATAATGTTTCGAACCACATCGTTGAACCCAACCTTCTAAAAATTATAATATTATAGTAATTTTTTTAACTTAAACAACCAAAGAAAAACAAATTTTGACAAAAACACACAGAATAAACTTCCAAGTGAGTTATTCTTATGATCTTACCTCCTCGATCTCGGGCAGCTAAACTTTGACCCCTTCTTAATGTAATATCCAATTGGTACATTCCGGGATCAGCCAAAGGGACATCTGCATTACTGGTTCCAGAAGTATTTATTTTCTGGAAAACAAGAAATATACAAAATATTAAATTTATTATCTCTCTTCTATTTCTTCCAATGGGGGACCATACACAGCTTAACACAAACTATAAGAATTAGTAATAAAATAAATCATCTTGTAAATTCACACATCATAATCACCTAGTTCTCTAAAGTTTTGAAATTCATAAAATTCTTTAGACTCAAAATAAAAACATGGTGATATAGGAATTCCTGTTTTAACTCAGAAATAATAAATGTAATATAAAAAACATTTCCCATGGATAGCCCCAGATAGTTCAACTAAGAAAGGCTAACATAGTGCCTGAAGTAATAATACAATCGATGATGAATAAAGAATAAAGCTATGCAAGAGCCATTGATTTCCACATAACTTAGTTGAAAATTAAAATGATTTATTTAGGTGACTCCTTTATCTAAGCAAAAGGATTACATATTTTTATTTCAGCCCCAACATAAAATGTGATATAATTATACAGAAATCAATTCACATAACATTTTGACAATATTTGCAAGAAATATATTGGCAGTGGGATTAAATTTCTAATCTGCTTTCTATGGAATAAAAGTGCACAAGCTACTTCCTGAACTAAAAATCTTTTTAAGACTACCTCTACAGAATATCTTTAGCAGTAATATACTCTCTTAATTTACTAGGCATTGAGTTACAAATGCACTTGAAGAGAAATAACTATATTAAAACAACACAAAAGAAACATAATAAAAATTGTACAGGTCGTAGTTTCTACTTTCTGCCATTTAAATATGATAAGATATCTCAAAACTAGTGTAAATGGCAAGAGAGTTGATAGCTGCTCCTGAGCCACACAGAATATACCAACCTAGAAAAAGAGAAAGCCAACCACAACCACGGTCTTCTAAACAACTTTCCAAAAACTTTTGTATGCAGGTCTAATTAATAAGCAATATTTAAATTCAAATCCAGCAAACATTTAAGTTCCCAGTATGTTCCACACCTTTCGTCAAGTTCTTTTATATAATTGTTTCAAACTGAACAAATCCATTTACAAATATTAAATTTAGATGTATTTACTACTTTATAAACAATGGAATGAAATCTACAGAAAAGGAGAAATCTTCTACCTACCCTACATCCCCCTTTAGTGTTTTGATAGGTACCTTAAAGGCAGAAAAGTTTGAATGCTCAGATATCTGTATTTTTTTATCCTCCTTGCTCTTTTTAGTGCTCTTGAAGTTTAGAATGAATAATTTATAGAGTGCTTGATTTTATATTTAAAAAATATATTATATGGGCAAGGTAAGGAATTTTCAAAGGTAATTTTAACTATACTAGATTTTTTGCTTTAGAATTTAATACTTTGTTAAGATAGAACTTCACTGGATTTACATTTATTGGCTTTTTAAAACCCAAATAATATTTCTCTGTGTGTGTCTGTGTGTATCACATTTTTTTGTCCATTCATCCAATGACAGGCATTTAGGTTGTTTCCATATTTTGGCTATTGTGAATAATACTATTAATGAACATAAGAGTGCAGATATCTCTCTAAGATACTGATTTCATATTCTTAGGATACAATCCGGCTTCCCCCTCTTGTTCTCCATGTCTTCCTACCTACACTTCAAGGGTGACTTCATTAGCACTTTATATCTTTCTTGTCTTTTATGACATTCTGTCATATATGTTATATTTGTCATTCTAGACTATAAACTTTTAAAATCAGGAATAGAATGTTTAAGGATCAAATTGAACATAAATTGTGATAGAGGCTGTAAGGATAGAAAAATATCTTTAAGGGCACATGACCTAGCTGAATAGACACATACATGGGGATCTACAACAAAGTTGGCTACTCCGTGGGAAGTTTGTTTACTCTCTCTTCTCCTGTGCCCAATATGGCATCTAATTTGTTTCAGCACCTTTCTCTCATGAGGCACCTAAGTATAACCTTAGAATTCTTATCTACACAGTGCTCTAGGCTATTACCAATTGATCAAGATTGGCACTTAAATGAAACTCTGTCCACTCAACTGTTATAATTAAAGACAGACTGTGCTATAAGGGAGTTATTAAGTCCTTAAGAGAGTTGGAAAGATCGGTTATTACAGGAGAAAAATCTGAGGTAGCCTCATAGAAATGACAATGGAGTAGGGTGTGAAAATATGGGTAGGACTTTTACAAGTGAAGATTTGAAATAAGGGAGAATGGGAAAATCGATGTGAGTCCAATGGCGAGTAGTCACCAGAGGGTGCATCACTGGAACGTGTAAGCAATAAGGGAGAAAGGATGATTTATGTACAGTGATGCCAGTTCAGCCTGTGGGCATCAGGAAGCTATCACTGGCTTTTGAAGAGAGAAACAATATAACCAGACCTAATTTAATAAACATTTATTGCCTATCTTTCATCTTTCCTGTTCTAGAATAAGTGCTTAGATTACTCAGTGTTTGGAGATGAACAAAACTAGGCCTTTTCTCTCTGCAGGATGGAAGAGAATAGAGAAATTCTGTAGATATAGAAATTATTTTATAGGTTTATAAAAGTCCAGTTTAAGTCACAAGGGTCTCATCTGGTCAGTGGTAATGGAAATAAAAGATGAATTTGAGAGATATTGAGGAGATTCAATCAGCTGAATTTGTCAATTGACAAAATGTGAGAGATAGGGAAATGGATGGATGAGTCACTCAGAAGTTTGAGCGGAGCTCCTGGGAGAATAGTAATGTCAGTAGGAGAAAGCAGGCATGAGAGGAGGGGCAAGTTCTAGGCCACCACTGAGTCAAGTTCCAAGGATATCCCCAACTCTATAAAAGGAGAAAGTCAAGAAATTAAGTAGACCTAGAGAGACATCTTTCCTCAGGCCCACTGAAATGGTTCCAATAAGAAAACTGGTAGGCCAATTATGGAGCAGTATTAGAAATTCAATTTTTTTATTGTAAAGTATCTTTTTATAAATGTTTATTAAGTTCCCAAATGTAAAGATGTTAGGAAAGATGTATCTGAAGTGCTAAACACACATGTAGCACTAATACAAACTTTGTCATTTAATTAATTAATTTATATTTTTAAAAAGATTTTTATTAAAATGTAGCTAACATACAATATTGTATTAGTTTCAGGTATGCACCATAGTTATTCAACATGTATATACCTAAAGAAGTGATCACCATGATAAGCCCAGTGACCACGTGACACCATACAACGCTATCACAATATTATTGACTATGCTGCACACTACATCCCCATGACGTCAAACTTTATCATTTTAAAGCTTTCATTTTTTCAAATTTGACATTTATTTAATGACTATTATTAGAACTTCGAATAGACCCTTCCTTTTCTTAAATACTATGCCCTACACTTAGATGTGTTGCTATTTTTTGGAACCATTTTATTGAGGTATGATTGATATGTAAAAAGCTGCATATACTTAATGTATATAACTCAATGTATATCCTCAGTTTGAGGATAGGTATATGCTTGTGAAATCATCACTACAGTCAAGGCCACAAATGCCACAAACATATTTAGCACTTCCCAAAGTTTCCTCTGGCCCCTTTTGTTATCATTATTGTCATTTTTGTGTGTGTGGTAGGAACACTTAACATGAGATCCACCCTCTTAGAAAATCTTAAGTATATAATACAGCATTGTTAGCTATGGGCACTATGCTGTGTAGTAGATCTCCAGAACTAATCCATCCTGCATAATTGAAACTTTGTACCATTACTTCTCCGTTTCCCCTTTCCCCAGCCTCTGGCAACCACCATTCCACTCTCTGCTTCTATGAGTTTAACTATTTTAGATTCTACCTATAAATGAGATCGTAAAGTATTTGTCTTACTGTGTTTGGTTTATTTCACTTAGTCACTTAGCATAATTTCCTCCAGGTCCACCCATGTTGTTACAAATGACAGATTTTCCTTCTTTTTTAAGATTGAATAATATTTTATTGTATGTATATACCAAATTTTCTTTATCCATTCATTTATCAATAGACATTTAGGTTGTTTCCATATTGGAGTTATTGTAATTAATGTTGTAGTGAACATGGGAATACAGGTATCCCTTCAAGATCCTGATTTAAATTCCTTTGTGTAAATACTCAGAGTGGAATTGCTGGATTATGTGGGACCACAAAACACCCCAAATAACCAAAGCAATCCTGAAAAAGAAGAACAAAGCTGGAGGCATCACACGTCTTAATTTCAAAATTTACTACAAAGCTATAGCAATCAAAATAGTATGGCATTGGCATAAAAACAGACACATAACCCAATGGAATAAAGAACCCAGAAATAAACACACGCATATATGGTCAACTAATCTTCTCTAAGGACACCAAGAATACAAAGTGAGAAAAGCCTCTTTATTTAAGCCTATTTATTAAAGCCTGTTTAATAAATAGCACTGCTAAAACTGAATATCCATAGACAAAAGAAGGAAATTTGACCCTTATATCATATACAAAAATCAACTCAAAATGGATTAAAGACAAATTAAAGACCTGAAGTTATAAAACTAGAAAAAAAACAAGGAAAAAGATCCTCAACATTGGTCTTGGTAATGAAGATTTGGATGTGACACTATAAGGACAGGTAACTAAAGCAGAAATTGACTTAAGTGTGGCTACATCAAATTAAAATGCTTCTGCACAGCAGAGGAAACAATCAACAAAATGGAAAGACAATCTACAAAATGGGAGAAACTATCTGTAAACAATATGCAAGATAAGGTGTTAATATCCAAAGTATATAAGGAATTCATATAACTGAACAGCCAAAAAAAAAAAAAAAAAAAAAAACAACTCCAAAAACATTAAAAATGGGCAAAGGACCTGAAGAGATATTTCTACAAAGAAGACATACAAATGGTCAACAGGTATATCAATGTATCAATGGGTACTCAGCATCACTAATCATCAGAGAAATGCAAATCAAATCCACAATGAGATATAATCGTATGCCTATTAGGATGGATAGTATTAAAAAATAAAAGGTAAATGGCTAGTGAGGATATG